TAATGCCTCCCTCTATCAAGGTATCTCTTTCACTGTTCCCCCTCCCCCACCTAGGCCTTCTCGAGCCCTCAAGTTCCCATCCCTTATCCCCTCCCTTCTACCCCCTTACCAGTTTGCCCAGGAGATCTTAACTTTCCCTTTCCTGGGGCCCTTCATATGACCTGTGTTTTACCTGGCTTCTCTGAGGTTGTGTATTGTAGCCTGGTTATTCTTTGCTTTACATCTAATATCAACTTTATGAGCGAGTATGTGTTTGTCTTCTGGGTCTGGGTTACCTCACGCAGGATGTTTTTTTTCTAATTACATCCATTTGCCTGCAAATTTCAAGATGTCATTGTTTTTTTTTACCACTGATTAATACTTCATTGTATAAATTACCACATTTGCATTATCTATTCTTCAGTTGACATCTAGGTTGTTTCCAGGTTCTGGTTATTACAAATAATGCTGCTATGAACATAGCTGAGCAAATGCTTGTCAGAATGTCTAAGATTAAAAACACTGCTGACATCTTATGTAACATGAGGGCCAGCTTGTTGGGGTATCTGTCCCCACCCGGTACCCCACAACCGGCAAGTCCCAGAGAAAATCAATCATACAGAGATTTCTATAAGTTATAAAGCTGATTGGCCCATTAGCTCAGGCTTCTTTTTAACTCTTATAGCTTATATTAACCCATTATTCTGATCTATGTTAGCCAGGTGGCTTGGTACCTTTTTCAGCTGTCAGCTTACATGTTGCCTCTTCGGTGGTCTGCGCAGGAATGGCAGAGGAACCTCCCTGCTTCCCAGAATTTTCCTGTCCTCATTGCATCACTTCTACTTCCTGTCTGGTTTTCCTGCCTATACTTCCTGCCTGGCCAATCAGCGTTTTATTAAAATACATGATTGACAGAATACAGATAATTCTCCCACACCAATCTTATGCTGGAGAGGATATGGAGTAAGGAACACTCCTCCACTGCTGGTGGGAGTGCAAACTTGTGCAGCCACTTTGGAAGTTAGTATGGCAGTTTCTCGGAAAATTGGGACTCAATCTACCTCAAGACCCAGCAATATCACTCCTAGGCACATACCCAAAGGATGTACAATTATACAACAAAGGCATTTGCTCAATTATGTTCATAGCAGTATTGTACATAATAACCAGAACCTTGAAACAACCTAGACGCTCCTCAAAGAATGGAGAAGGAAAATGTGGTACATTTACACAAGGGAGTATTGCTCAGCAGTAAAAATAATGACATCTTGAAAATTGCAGGCAAATGGATGGAGCTAGGAAAAAAAACATCCTGAGTGAGATAACCTAGACCCAGAAAGACAAATACAATATGTACTCACTCATAAGTGGATATTAGACACTAAACAAAGGATAACCAGCCTACAGTTCACAATCCTAGAGAAAATAGCCAACAAAGAGGATTCTAAGGGAGACATACATGGATTTACCTAGGAAGGGGTAAAAGACAAGATCTCCTGAGAAAAATGGGAATGTGGGGAGTAGGGAGGTGAAAGAGGAGGGGAAGGAATGGGAGTGGGAAAAAAGTATAGCTCAGTAAAAACAATAGGAAAATAAAATTTACTATTTCTGTCGTTTATGAAACCCCTGCACACTTTTACAGGATACCCAGGTAATTCTCATGCACTGAGACATGAAATACACTAACTTAACAGACTCTGTGTGGACAGGGGTTTCTGTCCTGCCAGGTCCCTCAGCCATTCGGTCCCAATGAAACACACAGAGGCCTATATTAATTATAAACGGATTGGCCTATTAGTTCAGGTTTTCATTAACCCATAATTTTTGTCTGTGTTAGACACATGGCTTGGTACCTTTATCAGTGAGGCATCTTCATCTTGTGTCCTCTGCATCTGACTGACAACTGCAGACTGAGCCTTTCCTCATCCCAGAATTCTCCTGTTCTGGTCACCCTGCCTACACTTCCTGTCTGCCTACTGGCCAGTCAACATTTTATTATACCAATACAAGTGCACGAGGCACTTTACAGGGCACAAGACCATTGTCCCACAGCAGCTCTGACTGATGGAAAGAGTCTCCTATTTCTATTTTCCTCCATTTGTTCAGCAAGCGCTTAAAGATCAAGCTGACTTAGAGCTGGGGAAATGAAGCATAGAAGACCTTGACAGAGAGAGCAAATTCTGCTAGCGGAAAAAGAGAAAACACGAGATTGTACAGATCATAAGGGACTGCAAATCCACCTCCCAGAGATGAAGGGACTCATAGGTCCCTGTCAGAAGCAGACAGTTAAAAACACTAGAGTGTGAGAAAATGGCAAAAACGGTTGATGAGAAAAAGCAGGCTGGAATCCCTCATTTTCACAACTGGAATTCATTAGCCATTGTCCCAGAAAGCCTGGCCTTTCTCACTACTCAGACAGTACCTGCCCCCTCCCACTCGTCGCTGTCCTGACTGAGGGGGCTCCAAGACCCTAACCGGTTAGATAGGAACAATCAGCAGAAAGCAGCCAGCAGGAGACCTTACTTCCAGCCTTAGTAAACACATAGAAAATTCAACAAGGAAGCATTTAAATGACCTGAACAGTGTGGCTATTGTACCTGGGACTCTCATGAGCGGTGAATCAAATGACAGCCTCAGAAAGACTTGCAAAGAGCCCCTTGACAATGGAACGTGGGCAACTCAGAGCCCATGACAGGCTACAAGGTCAAACCTGACAGAACAAAGATCCAAAGCAGCATTAAATGACTTAATTATTCAGCCCTGCTCTGTACAAACTTGGGGAAATGTGACATCTTTTAAATTACCTCCCTGATAGGTAATATCCACGGTGCATGAAAAATGTTAGCAAAAGTCTTTAAAAAGAGCAGAATGTTTTACAAGGCAGGGATTACAGTGTAGCCACACTAAGATTCCGTGTTAGTTCTGGAAACGACCCTAATAGCTGGTACTCTTAAGACAGAAGAAGAAATAGTCACACGAGGAAAGGAAAGTCTTGCCTTTTCTTATTCCCTTCTGCCTATTGCCCTTCATAAGCTTGTGTGTATGCACAGGTTAGCCAGACATTCAGGTGGGAGCACCTACCTCTCTGTTTACATGGTGTGAGCACAAGTAATAACAGTCTAATATCACTCCCCAAGTGCAGTGGCCTCCTGATAATATGTGGGGACTGTTTGTGCTCTGAGCCCCACTGGAACCAATATTCTGGTTGTTTTCAGCCTCGTGATCTACAGAACTCTCACATGCCCAAGATTGTCATTGCACGGTGCTGCCATACACTAGGAAGAAAAAATACCAGGCTTAACAGTGTCTAAGTAATTCAGACTCAGGCAAACATGGTCAGAAAGCCTTGTAATGAGCAACCTGCAGAGAGAAGCAGGGCCAGGACCAACTATGGCAAGTAGAACACCTGAAATACAAAACATGAGGATGTCCTTCCCTTGTCTGACATGCGCCAACACTCAAAATGCAGTTCCTTACTTTTGAAATTTAGGCACTGAACCTGCTTTGTCCCAATAGAAACCCAGTTCACTGGCTTCCTGTCATAATTTTCCCATTCCTTCCTCAACTCCTTGACACCTAGGTGAGGAGACCCCGTGTCCAACAAAGAGAAAAAAAGAGACCATTCAGGAGAAAAAGCTTGAGTTATCAATAATGAGCTTACAGCGAGGGGTCGAGTGAGAGGTTAGCCAAGTGAAAGTCATAGGTTACCCAAGGAAAAGAGACTAGTGATCGCTGACGAGTGACCTGGCCGGGCCCTGGGGTGTGGGCCCAGAGAGCGGGGAGATGAGATTGACCACAGTGTTCTGTTCCCACTGGAAGGGAGGATCGTCACAAAGAGAAGCTTACCCTGCAACAGCTCCCTTCTCTTCTAGTATACGCATACTTCTCTGGGGGGTAAACAAAATCCTTTCCACCACCTTCCTCCCAGTCCAGTCCACTGAGATTGGATCTTACCCTATCCATTTCCTCCCTGATAATCTCATAGTTTTGCTTCATCCCGTGACGCCGTAACATAAAGCCAATCTCAGCAGCTTGGAGCTAAAGGAAAAGAAACAAACGGTCTCTAGTTGATGGTTGTTCACAAATGGCTCAGAGGAGAACATGCTTCTCTGTAGTGGTTGGTGTCTCTGACACCATCAGAATAGGGAAAGGTGAATTTTCTCTCTCTTCTTCATCACACACAAATAAAACCCTCTTTTCCTTTTTCTCCCAAAAAAAAAGTAGAATGGAATCTTATACAGCCATTAGAAGCTGATATAATGATATAGACTGTTTAATGTAATGTTAAAAATATTGAACAGTGTCACCTACACTGTGATTCCAACTTTATGAAATTAGAGTACATTTGCATAAGAAATATAAACGAACATGGGAAGAAAACAGTTGACATTTAAAGGTGATGGGATTTGTGAGTGATTCATGTATAGTCATTTTTTTCACCTGTTACGACATCTTGTAAAATAAATAAAACAGAAAGAAAGGGAGAAGAATTGGAACATAGAAAACCTTCTGTATGCCAGGCAAGACAGTGAGACTTGGGATGGCTCTGCATTCCCTGCCTTCCTTCCCATTCCTTTAAAGCAGTCTGCAGTCTCAACTCCGGAGGATATCTGGATTTTGTGAACCCCCCTGATGAGAATACTGCACTGTGTGTATAATGGAACAGATTGCACAAAGTCTTCGGTAATAAATCCAAAGTGCATTTGAACTTTTTTTTTTTTTTTTGGCATGAGAAGGGTATTTAGTTTTGGAGACATGGCCTCATGCAGCCAAGGCTGGTCTCAAACTTGCTATGAACTTAAAGATGACCTAGAATTTCTGATCCTCTTCCCTCCACCACCGAAGTTCTAGGATGACAGGCATGCACCATCACTCCTGTGCATGCTAAGCCGGCCCTCTGCCTAGGTCCAGCTGTGGTATCATTGTCATGACGAATGTGTGAAAATCTTGTTGACAGGAAATGATGTATATTTTTCTCTTCCCCTAACCTTTTCTCTCTCTCCTCCTTCTTCTCTCTACAGTTCTGCTAAGCCAATATTCTCTAGAATGAGCACAAAACAAGTCAAATAACAGCTAAACAAACAGCTTTGTACATCAACATCAAGAAGGAAGACACTTGGGAGAGACCAGAGTCCAGAGACGAATATGCACAAAGTGAAACGTCTACTTATCGGCGCACCTGCTAATCTAGATCAGCAGAGCTGCGGATGGTTTTCTGAGCGGAGCTACGATCACGGATTAAACACCAGCTCACTGGAAACTGTCATTAAATAAGATCAGATAACATTCATGAAAATCATAACCAGGAACTAGTTTAAGAAAGAAGAATACAAACATGCTAGAATTAACATGTAAAATACATATGTACTGAGGTTTATAAGCTGTCCTTTTTAAATCAAACTGAAAACAAAAAAAAAAGCTTTACTCTTTCAATGTTATTAAAAGAAACAAAAGGGCAGTTAGTTCTAGATTATTCCTGTCTCAGTAGCCAAGAAGCTGATCAAGGGTCATTTACTCTGATCTTTGGTTCCTCAGCTTTGTTGTCCACTCATTTCACTGTGCAATTAGTTACAACCATTTGGTTATTAAGAGATATAGCCCTTCAATCTTCCTCCCAAGTGTGTGTTCAGTTTAATCTGTCTGTAGGAGTCATCACCAAGGAAATGTTTCTGCCGTGTGCTATGACTCCATCAAACTGTGAATCCTAGGAAGTACACCATTACATGATAGGTTCCCATAGATGTCCCTGTCATTGATGAAACAGCATCAAGGAACTCTGAACAATAAAGAAAGTTTCTTTTCACCTGGACGCTCTCTCATGTAATATATAGGCTGCTATCAAATAAACACTTTTTCTAGTTCCCCTAGAACATGCATAGGAATTTAATATACTTTACAAGTAGATACCTAAAATATGAGTTTTCTATTTCTTTATTCTGTATGTCATTAGAAACCCATTTCCTTTAATTCCTTTACTGACGTATACTCATTTTTGTTTTGATAAAAGAAATTATTCCATTAAATCTACTTCTAAATAATAGTAAGTGGTACTAACAAAATAAATTTAAAAACTTTATAGCCTTAGAAGTAAATAACTCTATACTTACACATGTCAAAAGAACTTGATAGACATAAGTTACCTTTTGTTCATTAATGTTGATTTTGAAAGTTCTTATATGTTTTCTTTCCTTTGGGTTAGCCAGTGATTGGTAGTAGTTACAACTCACCACCTGTCTTCAAGGATCTTTTCCCCCCCAGATACTCCCAACCATTGCCCTTATAACATCTCCTGCTTAAATCCAACACCAGAGAAACACTTAATGTTGAAGTAGTACTTTGTCTGCGGGTAAACACAAGCTGAGGTGCACATGAAGGGGCCTCAGTGGAAGAGCCCATATTATATACCTGAGCACAAAACACACACACATAGAATGTCTTCACTCACGGGCTCAGATAAGGTTGAATTCGCATCTGTCGCTAGAACATCAGGTGGAGCCTAACGTGGAATCAGGGTTTTCCTCTCTTATGCTCGCATAAAACCACATTCATATTTTTAGCCATGTTTTCACCGTGAGCCAAAGGTTTCAAATGGCTAAGAGTATATTACAGATACACTCAAGTGCTCATGTAAGTAAAACTCAGTTCACAGAGGTGTGGCTTTACTAAGGAACGATATTAAGGGAACACTTGGTCTCTATAATTACAGTATAAGTCATTCTGGGGGCTATTTGTTACTTTAAGTAGTAGTTGTCCCGATGCATTCAAAATATCCTACTTACTAATTTAATTACACACAACTTTTACTTTGTTTCGTTTTTCGAGACAGGGTTTCTCTGTGTAGCCCTGGCTATTCTGGAACTCTCTCTGTAGACCAGGCTGGCCTCAAACTACACACAACTTTTTAAAAAGTCATCTTTTATTTAAGGGGAGGCATCTCATAATCTACACTAAAAACAGAAGGTATTAGATTCCCCTAATCCATGGAAACTATGGTTCCGTCTGGAGTCCTACATCAGTAGCAGTAATGTTTTAAAAAAATGAAAAGATCTTCCTCTCCATGTGCAAATTTCTTTAAGAGATTTTTGCCATGAAACCTAAGTGTAATTTAGCATACCACAGAGCTATGAAGATGGGTCATTGATAATATACCATTTGTACATAGATAATATACATGTAAATCACTAAATGTTAAGTATAAGAAGTATGTTTTTACCTTTAAAAAATGACTCCCTTTCTCATTCTGTTCTGTTCTATTATGTCCAAAAGTTGTGTGCGATTTTTTTAAGGTCCAGGAAATGTAAAGAAATTTATTGGAATATCTGAATTTCTGTAAAAAAAAAATAAAAAATAAGATTTTGTTACTTAAAAAAATTGGTATGTACACATTCATTTTCCTTTTCTGCCCGGTGATCCAGTGTATTGTTTTGTCTTCTCACTGCTGTGATCAAATACTTGGCAAACAGCAACTTAAGGGAAGATGGTTTTATTTTGGTTTACGATTAAAAAGGAACACAATCGATCGTGGAATGTAAGTCATAGCAGTGGGACAGGAATTTATCTACTGGTTACATTGTGTCTACAGTCAGGAAGCAGAGAGCAGGAAGGAAGTGGAGATACAGCACAGACCCTCATGACCTGTCTTGACTCACTTCTTCTAGCAAATCTCTTCCTCTTAAAGGCTTCACGAACTTCTAAATGGTGGCAACAGCAGGAGACCAAGCGTTTGAACATGTAAGTCTACAAGGGACGTTTCAAATCCAAACCAACACACCAGTGTGAATTAATGGTCCGATTGAAATAACTACCTTCAGAAACTCTCCTTGCATTCCATAAAGTTGCCATGATAGACGCTGATTAGATATTCAGGACACTCATGTATTCCAGGACATGATCATCATCTCCAAGACTTTTCTCTTTACCCGATATAGATACACCTCCACTGGGTCTAGTGAAATAGCTAAACAAAGAGCTAAGCTGTTCAAATAAAAGTTTCCTGAGGTAACCCATTAATTAAACTCTACTCTGAAGTGAGAGGCAGCCGCTTATCCCTCAGACATGAGCAAACAAGCCTTCTGCAACACTCTATGCAGGGCATATACTGTCCAGCTGGGTTTCAATCCCAGATGCTTGTTTATTAAATTATATTATAAAACTCTGACCTTGGGTTTTTTTCATCTACAACATGGATATAAATAATATTCAATTATATAGTATTGTTATGAGAATATAAAATGATTCAGAATGTCATGCTTGACAGGTAGGAGATAGTCAATGTATGCGCCTTCCTCCTTTTCCTACTTTTTACTGTGTATGATACTAAAAACAAAAAAAGGTGCTGGAGAGATGTCTCAGTGGTTAAGAGCATTGACTGCTCTTCCAGAAGATTCGGTCACCAAGACCAGCATAATAGCTCACAGTCATCTGTAATTTCAAATCTAGGGGATCTGACACTTTCTTCTGACCCCCACAGGTACCAGGTGAACAGGCACACATGTAGGCAAAACATCCATACACATAAAATGAGAATAAATAAATTTTTTTTAAAAAAAAAAGAAAGGAATGAAAGAAAACTGGGTGTGGTGGCCTACATCTTTAAGTCCAGCACTTGGAGGGTAGATAGTAGGCAGCTCTTTGTGAGTCTGAGGCCAGTGTGTCTACATAGTGAGTTCAGGCTAACCAGAGTACATAGTGAGACCTATACAGAGACCCCACATAGAAGGAGATTAACAAGGCCAGCTATACTGGGAAGATTACAGGAATGCATGGAACACTGGAGCCCTGAAGAGACCCGGTCCTGTCTGTCTGAAGAGGATAAATAGCTATGTGTGCCAAGAACCTAACCAAATGAGATTGATGTCCCCAAACAAAGTTATGTGGGTTCTTGAAGGAAATACCTCATTTAAAGTGAGAAATCAGTGAGAAGAACTCAGCCATGTGAGCAAAAGAATATGGGCCAGGCAAGCAGACCAATGGTCTAAAGACTCTAAGATAGGATTGAACTCAACACCCTTGAGGGGACTTGAATAAATTGCCAAGAGTTTGTTTTTAATACATGACTTAGCTTGCAAAGAAGCAAGAAGAACACTAAAGACAAAAACCGATAGAGGAAAAAGAAGGCTGACATCTGAGTGTGACATAGAAGCAAATGCAAAAGCCAAAGACAGATTTATGGATCAGAGTGGGGGGATGGAAAACTAAATCTTGGACCATTGGAAGCAGGAGAGCTAAGCCCGACGTTCCTGTTGTGAGCCAGGATACTTGGAGATCATGCAACATTAGGAATGGTGACCCTGAAAAAAATCTTTAAGTCGGAAAATTGATTGATCCATTCATGGTCTCAGGGCTGAATGGACTGTTCCAGAAGGTGCATCACGGGCAGAGCGCCTTTGAAGGCCATGTCTTGTCCCCGGAAACTTCCTCTGCAAGTCTCCTGCTCTTGGAAGTAAGCAGCTCTCCTTCACCTCATGTTCCCTGCCATGAGCTTCTGCCTTTCCACGTAGAAACAGTGGAACACAGCTGGCCATGGCCTAAAACCTCTGGAACCCTGAGGCAAAATAAATCTTTTTTCCCTTTTAAGTTGCTTATTTCAGATATTTGGCACAGTGACCAAAACATTAAACAGGGAAGAAATTACTTGTAACATAAATTTCAACCATCAACCTCAGCAAGATATTCACTCATGATTTCAAAACTGCTAACTACACCAATAAATCATAAGAAATAGTTGATAGAAATAGCTAACAACAGGTGTACGGCCCCAAAGGTTTTAGATGCTGGAATTGCCAGATAGTGGATATAAAGCAGCCATAGTTGGTGCACTAGGAAAATAAAATGGCATCTGGAAGAAGCTGATAATGCACCCAATAACACAGGTACTTGGTGTACATAAAGCTACACATATACCCCACTCAAAACAATGGAACAAATTTTCCCTCTCCCAACAATCATTAATAACTCCCATTTTGCAATCAGTTTCCATTCTAACACACTACAGAACAAAGCTAGGTATGGAAGCCAGGTGGGCTATCAAGGTTTAGTTTGGGGTGAAGCCCATTAAACCTCTCAGAGTTCATAAAGATTCACTATAGCAGGTGAAAACTGGCTAGCTTGATTTGAAGGTAAATACAATTAATTAACTCACTATGTTACCTCTACATGTTCTTTATTCCTTGGGCGAAGAAGCAGAGTGAAGGGGTGATCTCCACCAGGTGTTTAGGTTTTACAGATGTGGTCAAAAGAATTCCATAGGCAAAAACAGTGATATCAACATGCATTTTAGAATCACAAAAACAAACAAACAAAACAAAACAAAACAAACAAACAAACAAACAAAACAGGTAGAACCTGACAAGGCAGTGCCCTAGAAAAAGTGATACCACCCAGGAAGGGCCAGCATCCAGAGGGAGACACCTGACATTCCAAACCATTACCATTTGATAAGGTTACTAAACATCCCAGGACCCTGGACTCACCCACGTTCTGACCTGTTTGTCGGTAAGGGCGCTGTCTTCCTCTCTTTTTGGAATTCCTACTTGGTCTGTTAGCAAAGGTAATTGTGGGGGTTGACTTTATGTAGATTTGTTTATAAGAATAAAGAGTGAATGTTACCGACTAGAAGGTCATTTCATTGCCTGTACAGTAGGAAGTCACACTGCTGAGGTATCTTGGGAATGACTCCCATTTTGAAAGGAGAAACGCCAGGATTTCACAAGACTTTTACAGAATTGACAGTGACTATCCAAAAGACAAGAGTTCCCGCAGCTCTGCAAAATGGGTTCTCCATGTGGAGTGTCCATATACACATCCCGTGGATCTGTCTATTGGTCTGACAGTTATACATTTGCCGTAAACACTTGTGGGCTCGCCACAGGGGGTAATTTAATGACATTGGTTTGGAGCACATGCATACAAATGCCAACTGTGATTCTGAATGAACTCTTAGGGAAAACACCTATTTACATCTTATGCCTATGCATTGATCGAGCATGCGTCTGATTAAAACCAGATGCATCATGGGAAGGGACATGTACAGCAAGAAAAGGTTTATACAATTCAAGCCTGTCAATCATAACAGAGACCCAGTGGTGACAACCCTTTATTAAGCAAACTCCCCCTCAGCTTCATCAGCAATCAAAATATGAATTACATGTATAAAATAATAGTATCATTTAATTAGCATAAATTAAAGGCCTGACAACATCCAGCACTGTGGCATTAGTTTATAATACTGAACATCTGGAGCTGGAGAAATGGCTCAGCATGTAAAAGAACTGATGGTATCCAGCCTGAAACTGAGTTCAGATGACCAGAACCCACATGAAAGCCAGACATGGTCACACATATCTCCAATTCCAACAGTCCAGGGGTGAGATTGTGGGCAGAGACAGGAGAGTTTCCCCAGAAGCTCACAGGCCAGCTAGTCTGGAATACCCAGACAGTGGTAAATAACAGAGATTCTTCCTCAAATGAGATGAAAGGCAAGGGCCAGTATCCAAGTGTCCTCTGACCTCCACAAGCATGCCATAGACTACATATACCTCACACTCAAATACAAACTCAAGTGTACACATATCACATGCACACAAATTCATGTAAAGAATAAATGAGTGAATTTTTAAATCTCCAAAATCCTTATTAAAAAACAATCATGGCTTCATACGGCTGTGACTCCAGTTCTGTGGAGACAAGAAGATCACTGGTCTAACTCTAGGTTCAGTGAGAGACCCTATCTCTAAGGAATAAGCACTAAGGAATAGAGTGACAACCACTATCCTATTCTAGCCTCTGCATGTACACACAGACCTACACGCACATTTCCATGAACATACAAATATATACTACACATATAAACACACAAACACACATCCATACACCCCAAAAATAAATTGAACATTTGCTAAATTCTTCGGCTCTCTGTAGTTAGAGATACTGAGGAAATTCTTACAGACAAACACCAAAAACTTGTAAAAAAGGAAAGAAAAAAAGAAAAGCCAGATGCTCATTAGCAAGGCAAAGATAAATTATAAATTTTCATATAATTTAATATAATTAATTTCATATAATTAACTTATTCAATACTGCCATGAGAAAACCTCAGTTAAAAACATCAACATAACTAATTATATTAGATTCATAATATAATGTTGAGTGAAAAAAAAATAGTCATTCTTAGAAAGTAAATATGGGTTGCAATCAGAGAAAGTTATACAGGTAACTCAGTACTTGCAGAGCTTAAGTAGATGTCAGGATTCATAACTTCACTTATTTTATGAAATTATACACACACACACATAATTCATTTCAAAGTCAAATATAGCTAGGAA